GCACCTGGAATGGCAGATGACCCACACCAGCTCTCGCACCTGTGTCCACACATGCACACGTGTACCTGCACACTCCCGTCTCGGCTGGCCCGGAGGCCGTCCCGTCACCAGAAATGGGAGAGATCTTGTTATGATGCCTCTTCTTCCTGATGTCTTCCAAGGACAGGACAGGGCGGCTCTGACCACAGGTCCCTTCTTCTCACCAAACAGGAGGCGAGCGAGGTGGTTTACAGACCAAGAACAAGGGACACGTGTGACAGCTGTCCTGCTAACAGGAGCGCGCACACACACACACACACACACACACACACACAATCAGATCTTAGTGTACGTGTGGGCGCTACTCCCCTTGGGTGAGAACAAGCCCTCTTCTCTCATGGAGATTGGATCCCCGCAAGGATGGTAGAACCAGTGGTCATTTGCGGTGGTCCACACACCGGGTGTCTGGGGCCCTACTGCACCCCGGTCTGTCCTTGGACCATCCTGGGGCCTGCAGATCACGGGTCACCAACAAGATGTGCTGATCGGCCAGCCTCCAGCTTTGGTCCTCCCAGCCTCTCCAGTTCTCTGGGGCACTGCCTTTCTTCCTGAGGGCCTGGGACGTGTTTCTGAGGAGTGCTGCCACCCTGTGACCCTCAGTCCTTGGAGACCTGCAAGAGATGTGTGGTGAGGTCAGCAGGGTCTTTGAGGAAAGCAGTGCACCTTGGCTGCTTGTCTCCAGAGCTCCGTTCTGGGGCTGGGAGGTCACCACCTTGACACTGGGGTGTCAGGCTGCTTTCATAAAGTCCTTCTGGCGGCATGGGCTCCTCTCCTCCTTCCAGTGAAGGGTGCTGCTCCCTTTCCCCACTTTCCTGTGACCAGCCTCAGGTGGGGAGAATGACGAAGGACAGATGAGCTATATTCTCCTGTGGCTACTAGAAACATCCAGCTTGTGGTTATGGGTCCCATCAGGAGGATGATTTTTATGTTCTCTGGGGGCTAAGAGAATGAAATGTCTTTCTCTGTGACAAAATGGCAGTGAAGTTTCCAAAAAGTGTTGTCATTTCTCATCAAGAGAAGCTGGATAACAAACAGGTGCAGCTAACAGACCCCTGGCTTGGGGAGAAGGTGGGCGTTCCCCCCGGGTGGCGAAGGTGGCTGACACGTGTCCTGCCGAAGATGAACAGGGCAGCCGTCACTTCCTCACCCTGGAGTAATTCTGACAGATGACACTAACACACTCAATTACCTCTGAGAACGGGGCAGTCAGCAACTGCTTGTCTAGCATGACAGATAAATGGGGTGGTAAGAGATGGATTTTGGCCAGGGCTCCTGGGTCCCGGTGCCTGGAGGGACGTTTCTGCCATCTCTGAGTCCAGAACTGTGTTCCTCTGATTTTCTGGGACTGTTCACGGACATACTCCTCTTCCGACGCTGGACTGGTCTTCTACCTGTGTTGGGTTCCTCCTACGCTTGTTTTGTCTGGCTGACAGTCATTTGTTTTCCTTTATCATGTTGTGGGGTCCAGGGCTTTGTGGCTCCAACTTCTCCCTCTGAGATGTCTTGGAAATCTGACTTCCCTCCAGGATGGTGGCCGTGGTAGGGATGAACCAGTGGACGGGGCAGCCAACGGCTTGGCCCCCTGGTGAGGGTGGTCAAGCTGGGTGGTGTGTTTTAGACAGAAGGGAATGAAGACCATCATACTGGAGATGTCCCACCAGGGGCCGTGGGGATGGACACAAGTAGATTTGGACCCGGACAGGTTTGCCAAGAAGACCTTCCCAGCCTATTGGGTTCGAGGAGGTTGGTATGTAGTCTTTACACTGGATGTGGCCTTGTGGTTCAGGTCAGCATGCCAAGACCTACTGGGGGCAGATGTCATTTGTGAGCGTTGAGATTCTGGAGGAAAGACACTAGGCTTGGGGTGCTTCTGGGATTCATGTGTCCAGTGGGTCAGCGTTTGGAACTGATGCATTTCCAGGCTGCCTTCGCTGACATGGGTAATTTTCTTGGGGCATTTCCCTTGGACTGGCTTGGTCTCGGGCTGCTCTCTGACATCTGTGCATGCTCCTACACAGATCGCAGGCCTTGGCGCTTTGGAGCATTTCCCTTGTGAGTTTACGGGGCTGTGGGCTGAGAAGGTAAGGGAATCACGTGAGGGCCCCTGACATCCGTGAACACAGACATGGAGGGTCCTTCATGGTCCCCGCAGGATAGCGCCTCTCCACGCGCTGTGTGTCTCACTCCCTGGCCTCTGGTGATTCCCGACATTACAGCCAGGAGGGTGAGCTTGGCCTCTGTCTTGAAGATGCATAGCATGTCAGCACCTCACGCATTAAGTACTGACGACTCTCATTGTCAACAAGTGAAATCATATAATCACTGGACGAAACTGTTTCTGGAAAAACAGAGTTGCTATTAGTCCTTTTCAGGGGATCAATCAAAATGGGATTTGAAAAAGCCTTAGCATGGGCTTCCTACATGTGGTTCCCTGGAAGTAGGTGGAACAGAAGGGTTTGTGCTGTTTCTTCGTCCTCATGGCTCCTGCCTGCACCCTTGGGCATCCATTACCATGTGGTCCTTGGGGAAGTCTTCTAAGTGGGTCTCAGCATACTTGTAAGAACCATTTCAGTGTTGCATGCTCCATTTTCTCTTATTAAAAAAATTCAGGAAACAGCGCAGAACATGTTTTTATGTGTCATTAATGTAAGCCCTAAAATGTACAGTCCTAAAAACAAGCTAAGTCTGTCTCATGTTCCAGAACTCTGCTGTCTTCTCTCTCATGCTCCACACTTTAAAGGGAACAGCGGTGGCTGGGCTGGTGTCACAAGCAGAGACTTAAATGGGATTTCCCAACTGGAAGAGACAATCAATAATTATATTTTGTCTTTAATCTCCTTTGTGTTTGTTGCCTTATTGTTTAATATTCGGAACATCCTTTTCTCTGATCCTGTCTCAAAAACAAATGAAAATCTGGACGTTCTTTGGTTCTTACATTCCCCCGCTTCTCCCCCACCCCTCCTTCTGTGCATGTGCCTCTTTTTTTTTTAATTTTTATTTTATTATGTTATGTTAGCTACCATACAGTACATCATCAGTTTTTGATGTGATGATCCATGATTAATTGTTTGCGTATAACACCCAGTGCTCCATGCAGTACGTGCCCTCCTTAATACCCATCACCGGGCTCACCACCTCCCCCCCAGAACCCTCAGTTTGTCCCTCAGAGTCCATCGTCTCTCGTGGTTCATCTCTCGCTCCGATTGCCCCCCTTCATTCTTCCCTTCCTTCTCCTAATGTCCTCCAGGCTGTTCCTTATGTTCCACAAATAAGTGAAACCATATGATAATTGACTTTCTCTGCTTGACTTATTTCACTTAGCATAATCTCCTCCAGTCCCATCCATGTTGATGTAAAAGTTGGGTATTCATCCTTTCTGATGGCTAATATTCCATTGTATATATGGACCACATCTTCTTTATCCATTCATCTGTTGAAGGGCATCTCGGCTCTTTCCACAGTTTGGCTATTGTGGACATTGCTGCTATGAACACTGGGGAGCATAGGGCCCTTCTTTTCACTACATCTGTGTCTTTGTGGTAAATACCCAGTAGTGCAATTGCTGGGTCATAGGGTAGCTCCATTTTTAATTTTTTGAGGTACCTCCACACTGTTTTCCAAAGTGGCTGCATCAACTTGCATTCCCACCAACAGTGTAAGAGGTTCCCCTTTCTCCATAACCTCTCCAACATTTGTTGTTTCTTGTCTTGTCAGTTTTTGCCATTCTAACTGGTGTAAGGTGGTATCTCAATGTGGTTTTGATTTCAATTTCCCTGATGGCTAATGATGATGAACATTTTTTCATGTGTCTATTAGCCATGTGTATGTCTTCTTCGGAGAAGTGTTTGCATGTGCCTCCTAAATGTGCCCTATGCGCCTGCCTGCCTGACTTTGTGTACAGGTTTCCCATTCTTTGGTTTCCTGCCCCATGTGAGAAATTACTATTCCTCTTGCCAGCAGGTGAAGGTACTGCTTCCCTGGGGGAGGCCTTCCTGACTCTCATCTCCAGGCTCAGTGCTCGTTCCGCATGGCTCCCCCCTTTACATGCCCGTGCATTAGCGCAGGGGTCTGGTAGGCCAGAGAGAGGCTGTCGCTCCTCACCTGTATCTGTGTTAGGTCATAAGAGCAAGTACCTTGTCCTAAGCATCTAATGAGGCCCAGGCCTTAGCACTTAACCATGTAGGAGTACATTGTACCCCAAACCTGTGAGTAGCTAGTGCCATGTGTCCGTGTTAGAGATGAGGAATCTGAGACTCAAGAGAGCTAACCTGAGCTGCTCAAGATGTCCCTGCTTGGAAGGGAGGAGACCTTCCACTCCGATAACCTCTTTCCGGAATCGGAGTCCTCAGCTCTCTGCAAACTGTCTCTGCAGGTGTGAGCCTACCAGAAAGTTGTCCCAGAGTGAGCAAAGATCAAGCGGGGAATTTAGTTGGTTATGACCCGGCTGAGCTCAGAAACCTTTATTTACGAGGCATATGGGAGCAGAATGAAACCACGCTTTGGTCCTCCTCGGAAAAAATAATAGTAGTAGCTGCAATTCAAATAATTTTTGTTGTAACTAGTATTTCTTTAAAAGTTGTTAAGTCAGTGAATTTATAGTTCCGCACAGAAAACTAGTCAAAACCCCATCTGGTGCGTTTGTGTTTTCTATCTGTCTGCACACTAGGGGATGTATATGTCAATGTGTTTATATATGTTTGTGGATTGTTATTGTATATTTACAAGGAGACACACACATAGATGTGTGCACGCCTGCTTGTGTGTAAAGTATTTACAGAGGAGGATAAGTGATTTCCTCATATCCAGCCATCTGACCCCCTCAGATGCCAGTTTCACATTTGGAAGAAAGTAAATATAACATGCTTGAAAACAATGTAACGTGCTAGGAAAATAAGCTTCTAGCAAATAGAGTTGTATCTTGGTGGGTCTCCTGCTGACTGGCAGCCCCATGTCCCCTGCAGACTGCAGAGAGATCCTGCTTCCCATGATGACGGATCAGCTCAAGTACCATCTGGAGAGACAGGAAGACCTGGAGGCCTGTTGCCACCTGCTCAGCAACATCCTCGAGGTTCTGTACAGGAAGGATGTGGTGAGTAATGGCTGTGCTTGCTCAGGCTGTCTGTCCACCTGGCAGCAGGGGTCCCCTTATAATGCCCACGAGCCCCTGCCTCACTGCACAAAGGCACGTTGGATTCGTTTAAAAAGAAATGACCTTAATTTTCAGGGTTAGCCTCTGTCTCTCTGTTGAGTGGTACCCTTCAATGGTTCTTATTTTTGTATAAAGTGAGATACTGATATTAAAATGTGTATTCTTCCAAGTTAAAAATCTTTAAGTTTTTCCCCTGACTTAATCAGGTGAATGCCTCCCCAAGACAGATTTTGATCCTTAAGGTCAGAAAATGGCTTTGATATTAAAAAGTAGAAATAAACAAATGAAGGCTAATTATCTATATTCTTTTTGTCAATTCTTATTTTAAAGTAATGCATGCACAGAGTTTTTGGTTTGTTTTTTTTTTTTTTTTTAGAGAGGGTGAGAGATGCTGGGGATAGGAGAGGAACTCCAGAGCTTTTTTAAAGATTTTTTTTTTTTTTAATTTATTTATTTGACAGAGAGAAAGACAGACACAGCGAGAGAGGGAACACAAGCAGGGGGAGTGGGAGAGGGAGAAGCAGGCTTCCTGTGGAGCAGGGAACCCGATACGGGGCTCGATCCCAGGACCCCGGGATCATGACCTGAGCCGGAGGCAGACGCTTAACTGACTGAGCCACCCAGGCGCCCCCGGTTTTTTTTTGTTTTGTTTTGTTTTTGTTTTTAAGTTGTTGGTGCTTCTGAGAGTTTTGAGAACAACGGCTCTCTGCCTCCTTTCCCACCTTCCTCTCCCCACAAGTAATTTCTTTCTGTGCTTTTTTAGCTTTTTCTTTCTTTTTAAATGGTATTTCCTTTTGTATTTGTAAATTGTATGCCTAGTCCACTGATCTTTTTTCTTAATCAGAAGTTGGTGCAAGTGCATATGGAAAATCTGACCCTATGGCTTCCCATCCCCAACACTACCCTTCCCCCCCCATACACATTTGTGCACCCGTGCACACATCCTCCTGATTCTTGGGGTGTGTGTGGAAAGGCATATAGGTCCTTGTCCACCCATCTGTGCCTCTAGCAGGAGACAGATGGGCCAGGTTTTTAAGGTCAGCAGGGCTTAATCTGTGCCCTCCCCCACATGACCTCTGGACACCTTCCCAGTCAACCCATGCACTTACCTGTCCTGCCCACTTCCTTCCTGCATTGGCTCATGCTCTCAGAGCCTGGTTAGTGCCATTGAAGAAGGAGATCAGATTAAATCACTTCATAGCAAGGGTGGTTATATCAGCTCTTCCGGGGGAGTTGCCTTTGAAAGGTTTTAGAAGCCTTAATCCAACAGCCAGCCTCCAGTGGCCCCATTCCAGGGCCTTCCCTTTTCTTAAAGGGGAGAAGGTTGGGAGTGAAGAAGCTTGTATGGCCCAGCCTTGTCATGGAGGTGGTGCCTGCCCGAGCCTTGTATGTGAGCACCTAGGGGACATATCTAAACAACTTCTAAGTTCCTGACGAAGAATTAGGAATCCCATCACACACAAAATAACAGAGCAAATTTTTACTGATGGAAAAAAAATCTGTGGCACACTATGAATTTTAGATAGTGTGCCAAAATAAATACATTGTATTCTACGCAATTGTTGGTGCAGAGCAATCTGTGGTTTGCTATCTGCGTGCTTCCCATTTACAGATGGACAAGTGTCTCTAGAAAACTAATTGGTGGGCTAATCACGGATCATAAACATTATATTGTTTAAACAGATTTGTTTTATTTTTAAGGTTTGCTTAAATTAAATTACTATGATTATATAACAAATTACCATTAATGGACTATAATTAATAAGATGCCTTGTGTTTTCTTTGTGAAGGCTTTTTGCCTTTGACAAGGGCCATTCTTCATCTCGTTAAGGGTTATAATTGATTTACTTTTTACAGGGTAAATGGATTCAGTGACAACCGACAAGGCTTGCATGCTAATGATTGTCTTAGGTGTTGGTTTTCACTGGTGTGTCTTCCTCCAGGGGCCAACTCAGAGGCATGTCCAGATAATCATGGAGAAACTTCTCCGGACAGTCAACCGAACCGTCATTTCCATGGGACGGGATTCCGAACTCATTGTAAGTGCTCAGTGATGTGTGCTTGGGTGTGTGATGGTGGCCAAGACCATCCTTCTCTGGCATGTCACTTACTCTCAGGCCCCAAAATCCACTTGGTCCTTTTCCAGCTGCCTTTTGATAGTAAGCTACTTTTACTGTGTTGTAAGAAGCCACCGACATGCATTTATATACAGTCTGGTTTATAAAATAGGCTGATTTTTTCCATGATTCTAGAAGCAAGTGTCCAAGTTGAAGGGTCAGCAAACAACCAACATTTTGGAGACAGAAACATTTGATTCTAGTTTACTTGTAATTTACTTCTAGCAAAGGATATGTATTTTCTTCTAAGTCTTTATTCTTCTGGTGGTTTCTTGCTACGTATTTACATTTAAGATGCTGTTAATAAAATTTTATGAAGGACCTTAAAAAGTAATTGAGGTGCTCCAACCCAGCTATTTTATTGTCTACTCTGATATATTGTAGATGTCTCTCTTCTACAGATGACTGAGGTATGCAATTGCATCTGTGATTTTTTTTCTCGAGAAAGTTTTAATAATAATTTAGACAGTTTTTCAAGTTTTGTATTATGGGACTCCCCCCAGCCCAGATTTTAGCATTCTCCTTCCCAACCATTCTTCTTTTTTTTTTTTTAATTTTTTTTTTTTAAAGATTTTATTTATTTATTTGAGAGAGAGAGAATGAGAGCCAGAGAGCACGAGAGGGAAGAGGGTCAGAGGGAGAAGCAGACTCCCTGCTGAGCAGGGAGCCCGATGCGGGACTCGATCCCGGGACTCCAGGATCACGACCTGAGCCGAAGGCAGTCGCTTAACCAACTGAGCCACCCAGGCGCCCCCCAACCATTATTCTTAAGTTTGGTTTCTTAGGCAAAAGATGCACACATAGGTCCCTTTTATTTCCCCTCATTTCTAGTACATGTTATTTCACTAAGTTGGGCATTTCAAAAAAAATAATTTTTCAAATCCAGGAACAAAACATCCAGTTAAAGAGTTTTCATTGGCAACCAGACTGGATACATCGGTCTTCCTTGTGTGACCATAGTTCTTTCTGCTTATCCTGGGAGGGGCACAAGTAAGATGACGTACATGACTGTTCAGGCAGCAAGGCAAGAACATAGGTAGCATTAGATCTGTTTGGTTTCTGTGGCTGGCATGAGTAAAGGATGCAGTTTTGGGTGAAATCACAGTTGGGTAGCAGAGAATTGGGACAATTGCTGCCTTAGTATGTTTCCATCCAGTAAAACAGCCTACTTTATGCTTCAGAGTTTCAACATGTGTTACGTTCAGATTTCCCTTTTTAAGGTATGTCTCATTTAGGTTTGGACGATCACATGTATAAATTAGGAAATAAAACATTTCCCTGTACGTTGGCTTTATTTGCAGTGGACTTTCCCATTATTCTGCAGTAGATTTGTCTACCTTATCCCGTTCTTTTCTCTAATCTTAGCACCTTTGCCTAGGTGGGTGGAGATGGGGCCCCATGGATTAAGACTGAGATGACTCCAGGATCACCCCGGGGGCTGGTGCTCCTGCCTCCCTGGGGCTGTGCCATGGGTGCCCTTGGAACACTCTCGTGTTGTGGACCTCTGAGGGGCCTGAGGCGGGATGGGTGATGTGTGGCTTGAAGTTCAACCAAGTTCAACTGGTTGAACTGTTGGAATGGGCTGGATTACAGAGGTGGGGGTGACGTGATGCCACTGTGGGGTTGCAGGGAGTGAGTGATGGGCAGATGGGGGTGGTGGCCAGGGTCGGGGCCAGTGAACTGAAGAGAGAGTTCTAGGGCTAGGGGGCTGACCCTAGCAGGGTGTTCAGTTGGGCCATCACCTGCTGGCAAGCAGTTAAGCTGGGATGAGGAAGACAAGAAGGAGCTCATAGAAGTTTGGATGGTGCTTGGAATGTGGAAAGGTTGTAAGGTGCTTTCAGTCAATGGATCTAGCGAAGGTTGAACAGAGCAGGTGGAGTGTGATGTCTTCTCTCAGACCATGTGGTTCCAGATGTCTTTGGGAAAGTTCTCATCTTGGGCATGATGCCCATAGTGGTGATCATGATAGCAGCACGTTACTGACACTTAATTTCTGTGCTGGCCACTGTGTAAGGAGTGGGAAGATTTTTATTTAATTCTAAACTTTACCGTGCTTCTGTAACTGCAGAAAATGTCCTACAGAGACATAAGAAATAGTTCTAGATCTCACAGATGGCTTGGAAACTGTGATTTGGCACCCTGGTTTGGTGCCAGAGCTGGTTTCCCTAGTCTTTTCTGTAAGACTGATACTGGTTTTGCTCATCTCCGTGGTGTCCAGGAGGTATCGAAGGGGACTGTGAATTGCTCCTAGGTCTTCATCCTCGGTAGGGAGGCAGCTGACCAGCAAAGTAAGTAAGCACCTTTCTGTTTAGCCCCTTTCAGTCATTTCCATGGGCCACACGCTAGAATCTCCTGGAGGTAAAGGGAGGGTCGGGTGCCCCTTTCCCGAAGGGCTTGGAGGACCCCTCAGGAGTTCCTGAGGAAGAGCCCGTGCATGTTCTAAGAACGGGGGATGACAGTGAGAACCCACGCTCAGTCTTAGCCAGCTGGGGATCTGTTCCTATTGAGCAGTCAGCAAGGGTTCAAGGCCTTGTCTGGGAACAGGGGTGCAGAGCAAACCACCCACGTCCAGACCCATTCCCCACCATCCTTTCTCCTACAGGAGTCTTTAGAAGCAGGAAGGGGATTTAGGCCCTAAGCTGACTCTTCCCAATTCCAACATCTTTAATATCTATAAAAAGAGTCCGGAGATTCCTTTTGTGAAACCAACGAGGCTGTCATGGAAAGACTCTCAAAAGAAAAAACAGATTCTGAATAAGCTGTAATTACTCAATGAGCAACAACAGCATTAAGATATTTTCATGAAGGATGATTACCTTTTAAAATGAGTTCTTTAGAAGAATCTTTTAAGTCATCAAGGAACCGTGAGCCCTTGTGATGTCCACAGAGTGGGAAGACGGAAATGCTGTCCTGCTCAGTGTGCTTGACCTTGCTTTTCCGATTTGCTCAGATGCATTAGCTTCTTAATGTCATCTGTGAATTTAGTTTAGAGGAAGATCTGGGGAGAAAAATATCCCTGACAGGGTGGACAAAAAACTCAAGTCAGTGGACCTTTTAGAGTAGGGGAAGAGCAGAGAATGGTTTCCAGACCTGTCGTGGGTACGCTGCAATATTCCAGTGTATCACAGAGATTTCAGTCCCTATGTGTTTGCTACTTGTTTTTGCATAAGTGGAATGTCAATGGTGTAACTATAAATCAGCTTAAGGTTTCTAAGTAATCACTGGAAATGGATTTAAAAGTTAAAATGATTAAAGAAGTGTTGAATAGTTAATGCTTTGTGTCATGATTTATTCCACGATACTGTCAACAGTAATACCTGGAATGTGGCCTTGTTTCCATCGGAATGTCATTAGTTGGGAATGCTGTCGTGGGCTGACAGTTTTCCCATCTGTTTATGTACGGAGTTGAGAAATGAGGGACTTCCCATGTCACTGGAGAATCTGTGACATACAGTGTGAGCCTTTAAAAAAAAATTATTAGAGAGTGTAGGGGGAGGTGGAGGGGCAGAGGGTTAAGCAGACTCCCTGCTGAGCAGGGAGCCCAGTGAGGGACTCGATCCCAGGACCCTCGGATCATGACCTGAGCTGAAGGCCGACGCTTAACCGACTGAGCCACCCAGGCGCCCTGAGCCTTTTCTTTTATCTGTGTCTGTGGTGTTTCCTAAACACTGTACAGCTGATTGTATATTGTTTGTTGTAGTTCATTTTATACCTTTCAGCATTCTGTGTGAAATGAGCTATTGGAATGCATCTCATGCATAGGATAAAAATATGCCATAATCCTAAGTATCGTACTTTTTTAACAAATAAAACTGCATCTGGCAAGTACAGAATCGTAGATCTTGTAGATGCCTGAAAGAGGCCCAGACCCAGAAGCCTTGGGGTCACCTTGCGCAGAATTGAAATGCCATTTTATCTTTATTCCACTGGGGTCTGGTACTGTGGGGTAATTGAGTGACATGCTTAGTTTTATATTGTCCGATTTCAGATCTTATTTTTCTCGTCCTTTTTGGAAGTTTCTGAGGCCCTCAGTCTCAGGCAGTGTTCCTCGTCATGGTATATGGGTCTCAGCCGTGCTGGGTTAGGTGCTCTCGTTTGTGGACCGGCGCCCTGACCAGCCTTCTGCTGGGTGACTGGACCCACGGCCCACCTCGCACCTCCCCCCACTCACATGTGTCTTTGCTGGAATACAGCACTTGTGCACACAGCTGGGATGACGGAAGACCAGAGGAGTCATCCACAGGGCTGTGCCTCCTCTGATTTTAGGTGCTTTTGCTTCTTGCCCGTGATCAGATTTACATGCTGTTAATGGGTTCTTTAAAAATGTAATCAAGTGAGAAGAAGGACCTTTAAAGATTTTTCTATGGCCTGGATACCCACCAGAAGACTGGCAATTGCTAATTCACTTAAATGAAAATGTGGGCCTTTTCTAAGGAAAGAGTCCCTTGCAAAATGCACCCGGAAGCCTTAGGAATGGGGAAAATGGTGCCTGGATCGTCTCTGTGCTCTGGTGACCAGAACACCTCCTGATTCACTACACTCCCGTGATGGAAGTTATTCTGTCTCCTGCTCTGAGCGCCAACTGGGGGTGACACGGACGGGCCCGGGGTGTGTTTCATCATGAGATTGGCATCGCTGGTGGGGGAGATGTTGTTAGCGAGAACCCAGTGCTTTCTTTGAGCCTCAGTAATTTATAAGGACCTGGCCTGTTTCTGCACTTGGAAAAGAGTGTCCTAGAACTGGCCTCCCAGTGAAGAGAGCCCTTTTACCAAGACTCCTGACCCAATATTTTCACCAAGATGTGTTTCGTCCCCATTTTTGTGATGTTTGTTGTAAAGGATTTAAGGTATGAATTTTGTTCTTAAAAAATTGTGTTCTTAATCTTCATTTGCAGAAGAAAGTAATACGTTATAAAAGTTCCA